GCGCCCCGCCAGTCAGCGCCCGGCGGGTGCATGCTGGGGCACCAAAGCGAGCTGGCCAATCACAGCGCAGCGGCGCGCCCGGCAGTTGTCGCCTCTCTCCTTATAGTCTCTCTAGGAGAGAGATGGGGGGAGTAGGGGGAGTCCGGCAGACAACATGGACTGGACCGCCCTGGGCATCGCGTGGCACAACCAACACAAACTCGTGCAAATCCCTGGAGCATCGTCTCCGGCCAAGAGGAGCAGGGGTGAGAGCGGGTGGGGGGAAACACTTAGCCCTTCTGATTTGACAAGAAATAAATTGGGTTGCGCTCAGACGGCTTGGCGTTGGTACTGCTCGAGGGCGTCTAGGTACACCGTGCCGGCTGTGACGGCGTGATCTCTGCTGTTTGCGCGAAAATAAATTGTACATAATGCTATATGTCGGTAGAGCGGACTGAGTTGAGCAGCAGGAGGGACGATTTTTCGAACCTGCGCTGTCGATAAGTGCCGCACAGCACCCGCCCCCTGATGTACGATCGTTGGCTGCGTGACCGTGTTACACCCCCCCCCCCCAACCCTCTTCCTCCTCTGATCATGTGAGGCCGCTCTGTTGGCCGGCTCCAAGGGGCGGTGGGTGTGGAAGAGGGCAAAGGTGGAGGCGGGGAGCGAGCAGCTAGCCCCGGCCAAGTTTCAAGTGTCGAACTTGCTGTTCGTCTTAACGCGCTGAGGGCAGCAGGCTGCGGCGAGGCGCTGCGCCACGCTAGGCCAGGCCCGGCCCAGGCCAGGCGCCCCCGTTGATGAGCTGTTTTCGTCCTTCCTAACGGCCTCATAACAGGCTGCGGGGAGGGGAAAGGGGGGGGGGCGAATGCAAGTTTCACCCCCTCCCCCCTTCTCCATTTTCCCTCTTCGTCGCCTACCTCCCTCTCCGCACCTAGCGCCAGTACCCACCTCAAGAGCGGTGACCTTCTCGAGCTCGAGTCCCGGGGATAGCGCCCAGATTCCCGTCAAACGTCCCCGCCGCCCGAAGTTTGGCGCTGGCCACGGCTCGAGTTAAAGAAAGTCCCGAATTGCCCGCCGCCGCCCCCGCCGCCCCCGGCTTGTCAACTGTCAACACGGTCCCGGCGGGCAACAGTCCCTGCGGAGGAGAGGCGGCGGCGGGGCGCGACGGGGCGTAAGCGGCAAATTCGAATCGAGTTTTGAGAGGAAAAGTTGTCTGTCTGTTGTTGTTTTTCCTATGTTCGTGTCTTTATTCTCACGACGCCCGTCCTGGTGTGTGTTGCAGCGGCGACGAGGTGCAGCGGTCCCTGGAGCTCCTGGACTCCGTGCTCTCCGAGTTCGACGACCTGGAGAACGGCAATCTGGCGGCGGGGTCGACGCCGGGGCCTCCCACGGGTAAGGGTGTGACGAGACGGGGCCAGCCCACCCCACCACCCTCAGGGTCGCGCATACCCCGCGGGCGGACCGGCTCCCGCGGCGCGGGGTAGCTCTGCGCGCCGGCTCCAGCCGTACCCCGCGCTCGCGCATCGCATTCGCGCCCCGAAGCGCGGCGCAGGGAGTGAATAGAATCCCTCGCCACCGAAAATCGCGTTTCTACAGCAATTTCCCGCGCTGGTTATTGCGGCTGGGTGGAGGCGTTGCCCCCCGCCCCCTCAACTCCCATTTCCCTTGTCCGAGGCCGCGCACTGGCCCAAGTTGCCCGGCGCTTTTCTTCGCCCGCCC